CCGCCCGCCGCGGCGGCGGCGGGCTCCCACGGCGGGGGCGCCACCCAGGCGCGGCCGGCCTCGTCGAAGGTGGAGGCCTGCGACGGCGGCGACAACGCGACGAGGCTGCGACCGTAACGCCGGCGGGTGTGCTCGGTAGTGCAGCTGCCATACGCCACACAATCATGCACACCCACCGCCTGCGACGATGCTTGGCCGTGCTGCGCCCGCGCAGCACTCCCAGAAAAGCCTTCGAAACGCCTGCTCACTTACAACACCCCACCCTGAACCCTCGGGTGGGCGCACGCACTTGCAGGTTGCTGCCCTCCCTTGCTCATCCCAGCCGGCAGTGGACCCTGCTATCTCCGCCCACAAACGTGCACCTCTACCCGCCCCCCCCAAGCCGCACCTGCAGCAGCGCCGCCAAGCCAAAACGGTCCTCATCTTCCACTAACAGTGTCCATCCCCGCTTCCCCGCGCCTGCCAGCACAGCGCCCTCGCGCGGCGCGACGCGCGGGTCCCCTGGTGCCGAGATGAGGGCAAGCAGGGTAGTCGCGCACGGCCGTCAATCAGCTGTTCGCGCGGGCACCTCTCAAACCGGGTGCCAGGCTGCACACAGCATAGGTGCCCTGTATCATCGATGTAGCAAAGCAGCTAGCGTCTTTGCAGCCGAGCCTTGCTATCATGCCCGCGCACCTGCATCAGGCTTGCCGGGCGCCTCGGGCCGGGCCTCTCTGAATGCAATCACAACGCTGAGCGCCTTCTGCCCCTGCCGTGGCCGCCCCCCACCGCAGCCGCCGCCCGCGCTGCTTGCGTCCCCCTCGCCCGCGCCCGGCGCCGCCCCCGCCGCCACGCTCCAACCGCTCGCCTCCGGCGCCACCAGCGGTGCGGCGGCGCGGTGCGGCGGGCGCCAAAACGTTCTCACAAGCTTCCCGCCGGGTGCGCCGTCGACATTGATGACGATGCTGCTGCGGGTGATCTGGACTGCAACATCCTCGGACGGCACGATCCACCGTGGCAGGGGCAGCTCGAGCGCCGCCTCGGATTGAGACAGCGTGAGTTTGTAGGGCGGGACGAGGCAGCGCGCCCCGGCTGAGTCGCCCTGCGTGAAGTTGCGGGCGGCGCGATTGTTGGAGATCTGATCAAGAGCCATGCGTTAACTGGAAGGGATGCACAAGGGTGCGAAGGTGGGCCGAAGCTGATGCGATGGTTGCAACACGGCGAGGTACGAAGGACTCAAGCACTCAACGGGTTCTCTAACCCTCCCTCGCGCCTGAAACAGGGAGTGCCACGCCTGCCCCGGCCGCGCCTTGGCGACGCGCAGCGCGACCAGCCGCCCGCCCGCGCCGCCGCGCCAGCTGGCGGCGCCGGCCGACGCGTCGACCGCGTGCGCCCAGCGGCGGTCCAGCACTGGGCCGACGGCGCCGCCGCCCTCGCTCTGCCGGCCGCCGCGGCTGGCCGGGCCGCTGCGTGGGCCGGCCGCGGCGCCTGCCGCTGCCTGCCTGACTGTCCCCACTCTCAGCCCCGAGGAGGTCACCTCAATCAGGGGCTCTGCCTCGGGCTCGCCTGGCAGGTAGGGCACCGTCCCCCGCGGGGCGAGGGGCGTCGGCGGTGCCTTGCGGCGCCTGGAGGGGACCTGGCCGCACCTTGAGCCTGCCTCCCGCACTATACGGCACCCCCTCCCCTGAGTCGACCGCCCAATATTCTCTGATGCAGATCGGCGGTTTAGAGGTCAACACATCAGCATGCAGAGCAGGCCGTAGCTGAAAGCCTACCCAGGGGGTCGTACACCGCCACGTGGACGCACGAGTCAGTCTGGGCCCACATGTAGTGCCGCGCCAGCTCAGCCTGCAGGGAATCGGCCTGACCCCCGCCGCCGCAGGCGCCGCCGCCGCAGGCACTGGGGGCCTCGCGGCGGGCGACGGCCCACAGCCGCTCAAACTCTGCCAAGATGCGCGACTCAGCGTCAGACCTGCAGCAGGTGATGCGTGGCAAGGGGTCAGGCGCCGCTCCTGTACACTCAAGCAGGACGAGGCGTTGCGCATGCCTGAGAAAGGCACCAAACGCAACTTGACACACTAAGCCCTGAAACCTGCACGAGTGGCTCAACATTGATGGCGAAGCAGCGCTCCATGCTCGCAAGTTAACGCCATCGCTTCGTGGCCAATGCATCGAGACTTCCCGCCGCGCGCGCGCCCTTGGTCCCGCCCCCAGAACAAGCACCTGGCCCCCGGCTGCGCGATGAGGTGGGCGCGGCCGTCCTCCTGGCGCTTGCGCTCCAGCTCCTGGCGGCCCAGCAGCTCCAGCATCCTGCCGGGGGCGTCCACCAGCGGCCAGTGGAGCGGGACGGCGCCTGTGAGCGACGCGACGTGAGGGCGCAGTGATCTCTGGCACAACGCGCACAGACATACACACACATGTGTGTGTGTGAGTGTGAGTGAGTGTGAGTGTGAGTGAGTGTGAGTGTGTGCGCGTGCGTATGCGCACGCACGCGTGCGTGCGCCTGCCTGTGCATGCACAGCAACAGATACCGAGCTGCGTCGAATGGTGCAGCGCCGCCATGCGAGCCTGGGGGCAGCCGGCTCTTGGGGCTGTGCCAACACCCCGTTGCACATCCCTTCGCTCTCTTGCGGCCCTCCTCACCCCTGTAGTGGCGCCGCCGCCCGCAGAAGCTGCATATGGCCATCCCGCAGGTCCAGCACTCCTGGGTGGCGGGCCGCCCGCAGAGCTCGCAGAGGACGACCAGCTGAGTCAGCGCGTCGATGCGCCCGCCGCCCCCGCCGGGGCCGGCGCCCGCGCCGCAACGGCGGGGGG